AGCTCCTTATCCATCCAAGGAGGTCTCCTGGCCCTCCTGCTGCACTTCCTTCTAGTTGGGATGCAACACTCCTGAGCTTGGAGCAGGTGATCCTTGAATATCAACCAAGAGTCTTGGGCCCCCCTGGCCTCTAGGGCTATATCCCATGGAACCTTACTGAGCAGGTTCCTGAAGAAGCCAAAGTCTGCTCTCTTGAAGTCCAGGGCAGTGAGCTTGCTGCACGCTCTTCTCACTGTCCTGAGCATCTCACATTCGACCATCTCGTGATCGCTGCACCCAAGGCTGCCCTGGAGTGACACATTTCCAATGAGCCCTTCCCTGTTGGTGAGCAGGAGGTCAAGTATGGCACCTCTCCTTGTCGTCTCCTCTATTACTTGCAGAAGGAAGTTGTCTTCCACACAATCAAGGAACCTCCTGGATTGCTTGTGCCAGGCTGTACCGTCATTCCAACAGATGTCAGGGTGGTTGAAGTCACCCATGAGAATGAGGGCCTGTGAGTGTGAGGCTTTTCCTATCTGTCTACAGAGTGTTTCTTCCCCAGGTTCTCCTTGATCAGGCAGTCTGTAACAGATCCCCACAGTAATGTCTCCCATCGCTGTTTTCCCTTTAATCCTGACCCACAAACTCTCTATTGACTGCTCCCCTGTCCCCAGACAGTTCCATACTCTCCAGCCTATCCCTAACATAAAGGGCAACTCCCCCTCCGCGCCTGCCAGGCCTGTCTTTTCTAAAGAGTCTGTAACCTTCCATTCCAACACTCCAGTCATAGGAGCCATCCCACCATGTTTCTGTGATGCCTGTTACATCATACCCCCGTAGATGAGCATACATCTCTAATTCCTCTTGTTTGCTCCCCATGCTACGGGCATTTGTATAAAGGCATCTGAGCCGAGCTCCAAATGAAGCTGGCTCATTGGCTGGAGCAGCTGGAATATCTCTGCATTGCTCCAAGCATTTATTATAGGTGCTGGCAGCTGACTGGGTATGTTGGGATGGAATGATGCCCCCCTCCCCCAACACATCTAGTTTAAAGCCTCCTTGACCAGTCTGGCAAGCCTCCTACCGAAACTGCTCCAGACCAGCTCCACCAGCCCCCGCTAGACCTGGCCTACAAACTTGGGTCCCATGTTCAAGACACCCAAACCCCTGACTATGGCACCACCCTTTTAACCATTTATTAACCTGGTTAATCCTCCTAGCTTTTTTTAGGTCCTCCCCTGTATCCTGGAGAATAGACGAAAAGACTATCTGAGCTCCAGAGCCCTTAACCACCTCTCCCAGGGCTCTGTAGTCCTTCTTTATGTTCCCCAGGCTAATACTATCTATATCCCTAGCACCCACATGTATCACCAGAGTGGGTAGTAGTCCATGGGGCTTACCAGAGCAGGCAGCCTCTCTGCCACATCCCTGATCCGTGCCCCTGGTAGGCAACACACCTGCCTGGAGACCGGGTCAGGCTGACAGACGAGTGCTTCTGTCCCTTTCAAAGGAGAATCCCCTACTACTACGACCCGCCGCTTTTTCCTGGCAGCACCAGTAGAGATCTTCTTTACTAGTGCATCAGCCGGCTGTTTCTGGTGCAAGTGCATTCCCCCATGAGCCCCTTGCAGGACAGCAAAGTTTTGCATGGGGGCAACAGGTTTAGGAGGAAGCTCCTTGCTTCTAATTGTCCTTTTCCTCCTTTTTTTGGTTGTTTTTTTTTTGTCACCAATTCCCAGCTTCAAGGGTTAACAACCTCCTTCTTTCCTCCCTGAGCTGCAGGGGAAGCTTGAGGACTCTGCACAGTTTGGGCAGGGAGCAAGCATTCCTGCTTCTTCTCAGCTACCCTGACATCTTGTAGCCTATTAATAGCTCCCTGCAGCTCAGCCACCTGCTGCAGGAGGACCTCCACCAGGGAGCACCCAGTGCAGCCCTGCCCATTGTGTACCTTTCCCTCACCAATAGAGGTGAGGTGAATTACAATAGAGGTGAGGTGGATAGAGGTGGGTTACAAACTGCTTGTCCCAGTACATGAGTAATTTTGGGTTAGGGTTAGCATTAGGGTTAGGGTTTAAGTGTAGGGTTAGTGTTAGAGTTAAGGTTAGGGGGTTTAGAGTTAGGTTTAGGCTTAGGGTTTGGGTTAGGGGGTAGGGCTTTGGTTAGGGGTAGCTTTAGAATTAGGCTTAGGTGCAATGTTTAGTGTTCGGGTTAAGGGCAGGGACTGGGTTAGTGTTAGGTTTAGACTCAGGGTTTAGGGTTATGTTTAGTGTTCTGGTTAGGATTAAGTTTACGAGTTAGGGATATGTTTAGGGGTTTGGGTTAAGGTTAGACTGAGGGATTAGGTTTTCATTTAGGTTGAATTTTAGGGTTAGGTGTAGAGTTACGTTTAGGATTACTGGTTTGGGTTAGGTTTAGAGTCGAGGTTTAAAAGTTTGGCTGCCGTATCGTACCCAGTTTTCACCCCCATGGTGGCACTTAGTGATGGGGCAGCCAACCTGGCCCTGGCTGTTCACTGTCATCTGATCTCAGTGTGCCCATGTGACAGCCACCGGCAGGGCTCCAGCTCTCAAACTCAGGTCCTGCACTTGGAAGACAAAACATGAATCAGGTCTCAAACTCCATCAGCTCAGCTTGGTTATCAGATGGGTCATTGCTCCTCCTTGAGCTTTGGCTCTGAAAGGAAGCTTCCTGACACCTAGGAAGCATGGCACAGCTGGTGGAAACACCAAGCAGTGCATTGCAGGTTGGTGTCACTGAACTAACCGAGGCCTGGCAGCGGGATCTATGAGCTCAGTTTCATTTCTCACATCACAAGATGAGGAATGGGGGAGCAGAAAGAACCATGTGGGTTAAGTGCTTTCCAGCAAGGCACTTCTGTAAAGCAGTTTTAATATAGTACAATTGTGATCATGAAATTCGCCTCCGTGACCAAAGTGTTTGGTGGTTGTGGGTAAGCAGCTACTTGGCCATAGAGCAGAATCCAAACAGCCCCAGAGGCACCATGCTTTTAGTATTACTGTAGGGATGACCCAGAGCAGAGTTTCTGTCTCTCTGCTGTCCTTTCCTGCATGGTTTTGCAGTCCTGCACTGAAATTGCAAATGCTCGAAGCAGTGGAGGAAACCCAGTGAAATAATACTAATAAAGAGCAATAATAATAATAATAATAATAACTGTTGTTTGACCACACAACCGTGTTGGAACAGGGGAAGCCACTCCCCACAAGCAGAGGGTGCTGGAAAGCAGCACCCTGTGCCCTGGCCCAGGAATCAAACACGGGGAAGGCAGATGTGAACACAGACTGTTTATTTGAAATAGGGACATAAAAAGGGGATGGGGGGTGCGGTGAGGGGTGGGGATTACATATTGACAGTTAAAAAATAGGAAAATGATAGTAAAATTACAGTAAAAACGTTAGTTTAATTGTTACAACAACAGGGGTAGAACAAAGTATAACAAAACCCAATAAATATAAATAACCATAGAACAACAAAACAAGTGCAGTTTAACAACAGTAGAACAAGAATATCAGAACACGTGAAAAACAAACATAGAACAATAAAATCGCCAATGGATCTTCACAGCCGCCAATGTTTTGCTGCTGATGGCCCAAAAGGCCACTTGGCGTCGGAGCTGTCCTCCTCCTTGGGGAAGAACAAAAGCCAAACAGGGCAGGTTTAGTCACATCCACGTGCATCACCATTTAGAAGCAAGGAGCTGCTGTAACAGCTCAGCTAGAAAACCAAAGCATTCTTCCATTAAAGAGCATTTAAATATTTGTGGGGTTTCTGTAATTTAGACTCCCCCACACACACTCCCACGGCTCAGAGAGTAAAGGAGCCGGCAGCAAAGCCCTCCTGGGGTGGTGGGGACCCTGCGGGCAAACAATTTGGATCTGGGGAGGATCCCTGTCGGCTCTGGACGCCCCAGCGGGCTCCAGAGCACCCAAACATGGGGAGGGGCACCAGCAGAGAGGGGAAGAGAAGGGAGCAGAGGGACTGCCAGGGCTGGAGCAAACGTTTGCACCTTAGGAAACACGGCTAAATAAAGCCAGGGAGGAAAGGCTGCAGAGATGCAGAGACGTTCATCCATCCTCGGGGGTGGAACTCTTCCAGTAGGAAGAGCTTTGTTCACCCCATGTCACCCCAGGCACTGCCACCCAGCACGGTTTCTTCCTGGCAGCATAGAAGGGGCCTGACCCCATCACCCCGGTCCTGCCTCGGGGCTGCTCTGGACCAGAGCCCCACAGGTGGGGGGCCAGCAGCACTGGCCGTTACTTATTATGGGAATGATGGATCCATGCCTTTAGCCGCTTGCGAGTTCCCTGGGTCCTGGATCTTGTCAGCATCGAGGAGGCAGGGGTGGATGAACCTGGAAGCACAAAGTTTTGCTCAGGTCTCTGCACCCGCACCCCGAGCTGGCACCGGGGCTACCACAATCCCTATCCCAGGAGGAATGGAAGGTTTTGCATCCCCAGAGCCCAGCAGCCACCACTCGGGCCGGCTCGTACAGCACAGCCTGGCCCTTCTGCCATCCCCCAGCCCAAGGGGACAACACGACCCATCAGCTCCTCCAGGCTGAAGCACCAACTCCCTCACTACCAGGGGAAGCGACGCCTTCTCCAAGGCCTGAGGGGCGTTGGCCAAAGAAGGGTGCAGCAGTTCCTGGAAAGAAACACACCACTGTGAGCCAGGGTCAGCAAGGGAGGAAGAGCCTGGCTTTAGGGAGCTGGCAGCACCCGCAGGAGCCGATGCATCCGGTGCATCCAGAGGGGCAAGGAGCAACATTTCAGATTCCCCTCCACCGCCCGGGGCTGGGGACTGGGGCAGCGAGTGAGGGAAGCGCCTTCCCTTCGCATGGCAAGGCTCTGCACAGCCCCAGCACCAGCCCCTCAGGGCTGCTCAGCCAGGTCTGGCAGGAAAGCTGCTGCCTAAATCTAACCCTGCCCTTCACCCCCACAGAAGCCCTGTCTGCCCCGACTCACCTCCCAGCACGGGCGCACTCCCACTTCTGTTCTGGCTGGTGTCAGTAAGGCCGCTGCTGCTGGAATCGGCCAGCCCAGAAACCACCGATGCTGCGGTCGCTGACGCTGCCCGTGTGCGGATGGCGCCCGAGGAGCCCTGGGCGATGGCTGTGCCCAGGGACATACCTTCCCCACTGGTGCTGGGGCCCTCATCTGCCGGGAGGGAGCATGAAATCAGGACCCACAACTTGCTGTATGGGACTACACCTTAGCAGAGCCTCCCAGCATGAACAGCTCACAGCTCCGGCCCTGGGGACCCTTGCCCATCACCCTGGGGACAGCGGGGCACAAGCTCTCCCGCCTGAGTCTTCACCAGGCTCCAGGAGTTTCAGACCCGAGGACCAGGCAGCACCGGCCCAGGAGCTTCCTCAGCCTGTGCTGCATGGACACCCCCTGCACTGCCAGCCTGCGCCATGGCTGTCTCCTCCTTGCCGTGCCCTTCACATTCCCACTCTGCCCTTACCCTCCTTATACCCCAGGAGTCAGCGCAACCGCTGCTGCGCTGCCTTCCTCTCCTCCTCTATGATCTCTGCCGTGATGGGGTAGCCAGGGTCAGGCCCAGGGGGCTGCCAAGAGAGCAGTAGCTTAGTTCCTTCTCAGGGAAGCCAGTAGAGCCGCTCTGAAGGAGGTGTGGAAGCAGGCTGGTGCCAGAGCTGGGAAGCCGTGGTTCTGCCACAGCCACTGCAGAGCTCTGGTCCCCATTCGGTTTGCCCCCCAGCTTGGCGCTGAGGGCACAGCACCCTTGCCCAGCCAGTACCTGCTCTGGCAGCGAGCAGCACAGTCACACACAGCCAGCCAGACACTAGGGCAGGGGAGAGCATCACTTCCCACTCAGCCAAGGACGAGACCTCCTGCCCCAAAGCAGGCAGCTCAGCCTGCCCCCAGCCCTGCAGGGACTGCACTGGGCACATTCTGTCCCCAGACAAGGGCAAAAGACACTGTGAGACAGTGACGTACCAGCACCAGTGGTTCATTGTCCCAAGGCACCAGCAGGCAGATGCTCCTCCTGCGTGGCCTTCCATTTCCTGGCGATGGTGGTGGGCTCGGGGACTGCCGCTGCTTCTCCTCAGCCCTCATGACAGCTACAGGAGGAGACAAGTCAGGAGCAGCTCCCAGCAGGGGCGTTTGGCCTCTACCGAGGGGGTTGTCCCTTCTCACTCCTCTCTGCGTGCCTGTCTTGGAGGGCAGAGCCAGGGACATGGCCTTAAGCCACCGACAAGGCTGCGATGCCCTGGGCCAGCAGCTGGCCACAAGAGATCCACGGGGAAGCTGTCACAAGAGCCCGCTGGGGCTCCACAGGCCAGCGGCTCCATCCCACCTCCACAGACGTTCCTTGCCCGCTGCCCACCCGAACCACAAGCCACACAAACTGCCAGACGTGGCCACATCTCGCACTGAGCCACGGGACCCGAGCCACCATGGGCACACGGGAGAAAACGCCACTGCCTCAGCACCAGCACATTCCTCCTTTCCAGGGCACACCTCAGGCTCATCCCACCTGCAGACCTGAGCTACCCATGTCCCGCAGCTGCCCCGCACCAGTGGCCCACCCAACCCTGGCACAGAGCTGGGTCCCACCTACGCTCACCTTCCTCCATCTGCACAGCCCTGGTCCCTGTCACTGGCGCGCAGCTCCATTGTCACACCTCCCGTTCCCTGCTCAAGCGGGAGAGAGCCAGTTAGGGTCGGCCCCCTGCCCTGGGAGCAGGACGAGACCCAACACGCCAAGGACTCCCACAAGCAGCCCTGCTGTGTTTCTTTGCTGTCTTTGCCAAACAGCAGAGCTCAGGGCAACAGCCTTGAGTCACCGCAGCATCCTGAGAGTGGCTCCAGGCACAGGAGCTGCTCCGCTCCTCTCCCCAGGGCCCTGGCTCAGGCAGCTCAGGGCAGCAGCCGGGGATCCCAGGTGGGAGCTGCTGCTCGTCACAGGGCCCTGGTCGGACCCACCCTGTCCTGCTGTTCCACAGCACGGCAGGGGAACAAGGCTGCAGGGACGCTGGTCAGCACAACACCAGGGCTTCCCCACAGCTGGGTGACCCAGCAGCCAGGTCTCAGGGGCCTGGAGCATCCCGGCTCCAGCGGAGAGCAGCTCTTGGGTACTGGGATGGCTGGGAAGGGGAACGCTTTCTTCCTGGTTGGCACTGGCAGGCAGGCGCTCGCCGGATGAGCAGTACATTACCTTCCTGTCCGCTCTGGCACTGCACAGCAGACTCCTCTGCAGGACTGTGGGGACACCCCCACACACATCTACTCCTGGAACACAGGAAGAGACCAGTAGTAACTGATTTGGTTCTGGGGAGCACAGCCTCCCATTCTCCTTATCACTGCAGAGTAAATCCCATCTGCCAGGCACTGGCTACCGAGCCCAGAGCCTCTCTTGCTTCAGTGCTACTCAACTCCCCTCCAGAACATCCAGAGAAGGCAAAGTCTGAGCACCCCAAACAGGGTCCACCCTGGGAGCAAGTGGCCTCGAGGCTCTTTATGACCAAGTCGATGGGGAGGGAGGATGCTGCTGGCCCAGACACAGCAAACCCTTCCCGACTGACCCAGCCTGGAGAAAACCCTTCCCTGCACAGCTGCAGATCTCCATTAGCCGGGACTACGTCCCCCCTCTCACATCTGCAAGCCCAGCCCAGGATGTGAGCAGGGTTTTATTACAGCTCAACAGGCGCTGAGCAGACCCACGTCAAAGTGGGCACACAGGGCTCCAGGCGTGCTGCTGCCTCCGGCTGGAAAGCTGTCAGCACAGCAAAGAGATTCTGTCTTCCCCTTCTCCCTGGATGTGTCCCCCCTGCAGAGTGGCCAGGGCAGAGTGGGGAGAAGCCAAGAGCTGCGCGCTGGGCTGCGGAGCGGGGCTGGGCGTCAGGCCCATGGTGAGCCCCTGGGCATCTGGCTGTCCCAGCGTACCGGCAGGAAAACGGTCCTAGGGCTGCAGTGTGGCGGCAGTGGGAACCGGCGGCGCACGGTCGGCGGCGGGGCTCTGCGGGGACACAACGGTCAACAGCGCCACCGTTAGCGGTAGGAGGATCCCACCCGTATCCCTGTGCCACCAGCATCCCTGACAACCATTGTCCCTGTGCCACCTGTGTCCATGTCCCAACTATGTGCCTGTGCCATCTGCATCCCTGGCAACCAGTGTCTCTGTGCCATGTATATCCCTATGGCACCTGTGTCTGTCACCTGCATCCCTGACTACCGGTGTTCCTGGGCCACCAGTGTCCCAGACAAGGAGTGTCCCTCTGCCACCCGTGTCCTTATCCCACCCATGTCCCTCTGCCACCCGTATTCCTGACAACCAGTGTCCCTGTGCCATCCGTATCACTGTGCCACCCGTGTCCCTGACAACCAGTGTCCCCGTGCCATCCATATCACTGTGCCATCCTTATCCCTTTGCCACCCATAGCCCTGTGCCACCCGTGTCCCTGTGCCATTCGTATCCCTGTGCCACCCATGTCCCTGTTCCACCTGCATCCCTGACAACCTGTGTGCCTGTGCCACCTGTGCCTCAGACAAGCAGTGTCCCTGGGCCACCCGTGCCCTTATCCCACCCACTTCCTACCCCCGCGCTCACCCCAGGCAGTTGCCGTGGGTCAGGGCGCTGTCTCTGCAGCCGACTCCTGTGGCCGGGCGGCTGATCCCAGCCCTGCTGAAGGTCGGGCGCCGGTAGGCCTGGGCCCATGGAGGTGGGAAGCGGGCAATGAGGCTCAGCCTGTAGGGGGGAAGGAGAAGTTGGGGAGGGCGCCGGGCCAGAGGGCGCCTGGCAGGAGTGCAGGACCGCAGCGCAAACCAGGCCACCCCCCGCGCCCAGCGCCGCTCCCAGCAGCGATCCCTGCGCCAGGCAGGTCAGCATCACTGCCAGCGCCAGGGGCAGCGCCGCGGACTCGGCAGCGCCATCGCTTCCGACCGCAGCAGCAACGGGCACTGGCCCGCCTCGCGGTCGCTTTGCAAAGTGCTTGCGGGGGGTAAGAGCGCGCGGCAGTGGGGGACGGCGGGGGACGGCCGGAGGTGGCTGGGGACGGCCGGGGACGGTGTCCCCTGGTCCAAGGCGGGAGCTCTCCGGCGGTGGGGGCCGCGGGAGCGGGGGTTGCGCTGTGGCCGGAGCGGAGGGGGCGGTGTCCGTGCGAGGGCCGGGAGGGAGCGGGGCCGTGTGTGTGTGGGAATGGCGGAGCCGGGTTTGGCCTTTAGGAGCTCGGAGGTGTGTGGAAGGGAACTGCAGCGGGGAGGATGTTCTGGTGGGTAATGGGCGGGTGTGGGGTAACAGCCGTGAGGTGGTTTCGGGCCAAGGGGACGACAGGTTTGCGTGAGGATCTGCCGTGGTTCCCTGGGTCGGGCGAGCCCCGAGCAGGAGTCAGTGGTGCGTGCAGAGGGGCAGGGGTAGGGCAGGCCCGGGGGTGAGGGGCAGCTCCCTCGGCGGTCAGGCACGGGGGAGGTGGGGGTGTTCCATGGGGAATTGCCGGGGTTGCATTTGGGGGGGGGGGGGAAGCGGGGTTCCCGGGGTGCTGCAGGTTCCCGGAGCGCCCCTGGAGGGGTTCGCTGGGGCTGCCGCAGAGCCGCAGCGCTCCCGGCTCTGGTCTTTGGGGGGTTCAGTGTTGCTGGTGAAGGGCTTCCCGTCAAGGTTGTGACCTGAATCGAGGTTTTTGGTCTGGGCTTGACACTGGGTCAGAGCTCTTGTAAGCAGAGTGGTACCTCATGTGTACGAGCAAGGGCTGTGCTCAGCAGCAAGCACTTGGAGGTGATTTGCCCCTTGCCATGGAGCTTTCTAGCTCGAGAGATTTGCACGTGTTGGATCTGTGCCAAAGGAAGGAACTTCTTCCTTATGTGCAATCTAAACTTCCACTCTAAGTTTTAACCCATTACCCCTTGTCCTATCACTGCGGTCCCTAATGAAGAGTCCATCCCCAGCACCCTTGTAGGCCCCCTTCAGATACTGGAAGCTGCTCTGATGCCTTCACGCAGCTTCTCGTCTCCAGGCTGAACAGCCCCAACTTTCTCAGTTTGTCTTCATACAGGAAGTGCTCCAGTCCCCTGATCATCCTCGTGGCCTCCTCTGGACTTGTTCCAGCAGTTCCATGTCCTTTTTATGTTGAGGACACCAGAACTGCACACAATGCTCCAGGTGAGGTCTCGCGAGAGCAGAGCAGACCTGCTGGTCACGCTCCTTTTGATGCAGCCCAGGATACGGTTGCTTTCTGGGCTGCAAGCACACACTGAAGCCAGCTCATGTTAATTTTCTCATCGATCAGCACCCCCAAGTCCTTCTCCTTGGGCTGCTCTGAATCTCTTCTCTGCCCAACCTGTAGCTGTGCCTGGGATTGCTCAGACCCAGGTGTAGGACCGTGCCCTTGTCTGCCATGACAGCTGGATGCTGCCCTCTTGCTTCTGCACATGGTGAAACCCTGAGAGTGCAGGTGTTGAGGGACTGGAAGTAGACTCTTGTGCATGGAAGTGTCCTGGCCCTTTTGTATCTGAGCTGTGGTCAGCTGGTGAGACAGGAGGCCCTGAAGCCATGGATCGACCTTTCTGTGTCACTGATGCCACTGAGCTGCGCTGCTCTAGTCATGTCTAGGATTTGGGGTTAATTTTGAAGCTTTAAATGATGTAGTTCTCATTCCTGGCCTCTCTATTCCTGTTCTGCCTGGCTGATGAGCCTAGCTGTAATCTACATTGCTGGTTTCATGCCTCTGTAACCAGAGCAGGTAGAGGTGAAAGGGCTTCCAGTGGTGACTTCCTGTAAGTCCTCAGCTCTCTCGAGTGGGGCAGTGGCAGGAGACAGGTCTGTACATGTATCCTGAGGAGCCCGAGCTGCTGGCTGTCCTTCATTAGCTGGAGGAGGAATGACTGTGTCTGGGTGTTGAATCTCCCGGGGAATGTGCGTGTTGACCCGCAGCAGGTTTATTACTTGAACTGTAAAACGGTCCCGTCAGGGCAGTTATTTGCTATAATTAAAATAAATGCTGAAGACTTGATATGAAAGAGCAGGATGATCTGCATTTATGAAAGTAATTTATCATGATCAGCCTCTCCTGCTCCCAGGCAGGGAGATTTAGTTGTTTAAATCTCAGTTTAAGTCACATCCTCACTTTAGGGGCTGTGAGTTTGTGCAAGAAGTTTTCTTTTTCCACTTGAGCTGCCTCGTCCCTTGAGCCGTTTTCCCTCTTGCAGAATGCTGAACTGTGTAAAATGAGTCTGATGCCTGTTTTACACTGACATCATCTGTTGTCTTGCAGTAATCCCTCCCAGCACCAGCAATGCTTTGGGTTTTTGTATCTGAACTATCCACACACAAGCTAACCAGTTTAAAGAGAACTGGTGCCCTTCAGGGTTCTATCAGGTGCTTCCTCATACACAAAGTTACCTGGAGTTACTGCTCCTGAACAGTTTTGAGCACAGATTTTGTGGATGTCAGTGTTTTTTGTTAACTCCTCTGCATATAGAAGGTGGAATAGCAGGTGTTCTGCCTGTGCAATGTGGTTAATTTGCAGCAACTTAGGGTCCAGCTTTGATCTCTTCTGCAGGCAAGTAGTGCCTCTAGTGCGAATCACTCTTGGATAAGAGAGATGTAGAGCCACAGATGTTCAGAATTCCTTGTTGTCCTGCTTTTTATGGGCTGTCAGAGTGAAGCTGTGGAGTTTTATCTAATAAATGTTTCCTCACATCTCTGCAGGTGATCTGAATTTAATTTTGCATCCATCTCCTGTTGCCTGACCTGGTGGAAGTGAAGGCTGAGTTCTGTTCTACTGCTTTTTTCCCTATGCTTCACTGCACTTCACAAAGGATCATCAAAGAGCTTGAGACAGATGCTGGGTTCTTGCAGTCGTTTGGGTC